AGGTACTAGTATATGTCTAGAGATGAGGAGGAAAAAGCTGTATCTGTGGTTTATTTTTAATCTAGTCCAGGTAAATATATTAATTGGACCCAATCAGAAAGTTTGGATTGTTAATGGAAAGAACATCATCAATATACATATATGTGAAATTAAATGAGCTAGATTGTTTATGGAATATTTCTCCCTCAAGCGAAGCTGTGTTTCTTGCCCTGCTTTGATTATACTGTTTTGTCCTTTTTGTTTTAAAAATTTTAATTAGTTTCGGATATTCAAATATTTTTGCCTCGAACATCATTGAAGAGACATATAATGTCGAAATGCGCATCTGGTGCATAAAAAAATGGTACCGTTTATGTTGTTTCCTTCATCACGAACTCTCATAATTTAACAAAAGGATGTATAAATACGTAGAAACGTTGGGAGCGGTAGCTTTATGACCAAAAGGGACCTCTTAAAAATAGCTAAATTCTTATATGGCTTATTTTGCCTGAGGGAGTTGGAACTTTACTTTATTTTATTTTTTCAATGAAGACTGATGTTGGTTCATTCCGATTTTTTTAACTTTTGAGACTGTTTATCTGTGTTAAGCTTTTTCAAACTATCAATACGATATATGTTGCTAGCCTTTCTTTCTCGGCACGATCAATCTGTTAATTTATGATATCTGGAACCTGGTGTGAGTCTTGTGACGAAATAAGTTGTGAATTAATTATCATGATAAATCCTCTTCATAATGATCTTTCATCCTTTTGGGGTTTTCAGTTTTAAAAAAACAAGACTTCCTCCTCGTTTTTTTTAAAAATATATTTGTTACATTAAAAATCTGACTTTTCGGGCCACTTTAGAATATTTTCAATTCATCTTCATTTGGTCGTTTTTCGTTTTCGTGGTATTGTCGGTTCGTTTTCGACTAATGAGTTTGAATGTCTCTTTGTTATCTTTCGCCTCTCTTTTATTCATGTAATACTAGTTATATTTAATATTGAATTTTACACTTTTAAACCTGATTTTGTTCTAAATGATAGTTTAAGAATGATGAATTTTATAGATCTATTTTATTTTTATTAATTTCTCTATGTTCAATTTTGAATAATCATACAGTTCATTTAATACAAAATATTTTACCATACTTCCCTTGTTAACTATAAGTATCCACAATACGCTATCAAATGTGACGACGAATGATATTAAGAAGAAGACAAGGGATAGTATCTGCACAAAGATAAATTCTTCAAATACTGACCATCAAAGAACAGTTAAAGAAATTTGGAAGAAATGGACAACGTATATAAACAAGTTGCACATAATAGACGTGAGGCAGGAAAAACAGGCGGAGGCCCCCTTCCAGAAGACATATCCTCGATGGAGGATCAGGTAGTAGAGACTTTTAGAGACCAACGTTAAGATGGAATGGACGGAGGTACAGATATAGACTCATTACAGAAACATCACTGGATTTGTCAATGCCTTCATAGATATAAGATGTGGTATGAGTGCCAATGAGACAACTCTCCATCCAAGTCAAAATTTATAAAAGTAAACCATTATAGGTCACAGTACGGTCTTCAACACGGAGCCTTGGCTCACACCGAACAGTAAGCTATAAAGGGCCCCAAAAAATTACTAGTGTAAAACCATTCAAACGGTCATGTTAATTATCTATAATGAGTTCCTACTCCTCGGCAGATGAAGCAGATAAATATCTGTTTATTCTCTTATCGTTATTGAGTAAAACAGGATGAAAGACATAATGGTTCGACATTCGTCTTTCCTCAAACTTTAAACATTATCTTATGAACTATCATGTTAAAAATCCGGCTCACTGTGTCTGTCTTATAATGTTTATATTCAGATAACATTTGCATTTTCTCCGGTCGTGATATGCATGTAATGTTTGCCACTGGAGGTGATCATAAATTCATCAAATTTTAGCTTGAAATACGCTTATTTTAAGGTAAACCCTTCCCGTTTTAAAAGGTTGTCCCAAAAAAAAGTGATTTAATAAAATAAAAAAAAGTAAGAATATTTTATAAATTGTTGAATCTGTTATTAATCAATCTTGTACGAATAACTGCACCGTCATTTCGATTACCAACATATTCATGTCCAGGAATGTTTCAATAATCTCATAGGTTATCGTTTCCTGTAGGCAATAGAATTCTACTGTCAATACACATTTTATGTAGAACAACAACAGGTATAACAATGTCACAACATCTAACTGGGCTGTACAACAGTGATCCTGCTGTAGTGGTATATATACATTTGAACCGAGGTGTCAAAACTACAAAACTCTTCTCAACAGCAAATCTTGTTCTCATATAGGAACGGTTATAACGTTGTTCCTGTCTTGTTGTTGGGTTTAAATCTGGTGTAAGGAGCCAATGTCGAAGGGGATATCCACTGTCCACAAGAAGCTATCCATTGACTGATTGTTGGTTGCTTAAAGTTAAATGGCAAATGTTTCATGCATGTTCAGGATGAGAACAAATTAACAAAAAAGCTTTGACAATAGGTAGGTCATGTAACAGAAGCCGTCTAGGATGAAGGTCGGGGAAATTTCTACTGCCACTGGAAAAAGAGGGTAAATTGGAATGGGACAGAAATTTTGCTTTGCAGCAGGCCACCTAAGAACCCCTCAGAGTTTTAGTAAGAGTTTTTAACGTGCACAGAGCGTGGCATTCTTTTTAAACGATTTATTGATTGTTGGTTACTTAACGTCCAGTGGCAAATATTTCATGCATATTCAGGACGAGATCAAATAAACAATAAATACAATAGGTAGGTCCTGTAATGTAGGCCGTCCAGGAAGAAGGTCGGGGGAAATTTAGACTGCCACTGGAAAATGAGGGTAAATTGGATAGGGACAGAAATTTTTCCTTCAACACGAGTGCTTTTACCCTCACCAGGAACGCCCAAAGCCGATTATTTGGAAGCCAAGGATGTATAAAAACCGAAAAGAGTTGTTGCAAGGGTTCTTTACGTGCAGAGAGCGTGGCACTCTCTCTACACGAGGCATCGGATTAAACGTCCCCATTCTGACCGGACGTGGCTGCGTACTTGTACATCCCGCACAACCAAATGGACGCCCCACTTTGGCAAGGGTTCTACTGCCGGTCGGAAGAAGACCTGTAGTGACCATATTTCTATTCCCCAGTCATCCTTAAACGAGACATGGAATTTAACGTCCCCATTTTGACCGGACGTGGCTGCGTACTTGTACATCCCGCACAGTCAAACGGAGTCTGGGCATACTTTTTTCAAGAATTTTAATGTCGCTCGGAAGAACACCAATGTGACTATATGTCTATTCCCAGTCACTCTTGGTCGTAAAACAAAAAAGTAACAACAAAAATACGAGATTCCACGATAAATTTAAAGGGAGAGAGTCCTTTATAAAATCTGAAAAAAATCAAACGTTGGACTATATCAGCCTACGCATCGAATGGAGAAAATAAACAACTGAAGTTCCTGATCACTTGTTGATATTTTACCAATCTTTTCTAACCATATAATTACGCCATCTATACAAACATTTTATGAACACAAACACCTTCCCACTTTGTATTCGAATTTGACACATAATAGACTTTGAGCAATGCGCGTGATTTCTAGAAGACTCCTATATATCCGTAAAGCAGGATTCTAAAGCAACAGCCATTCCCAGACAATTTTCGGAAAAGTTTTAATCGCATTTCAAACGTTAGAATATTCCAACACTTCTAGAGCCGTCAGTAAAACTTGCCATTTTCGTTTGAAATCCGTTCCGCCCTTAGTCTCGATTAAAGTTTTTTTGTTATTCCTTTTCTAAATTGATTTGTCAGTATATCTCTAAACAATGAAAACAACACTTTATAAATTCAATGCGTCCGAAGTGCTTTTACCCTCACCAGGAACGCCCAAAGCCGATTATTTGGAAGCCAAGGATGTATAAGAACCGAAACAGTTGAAGAGCAATATGACTAAAACGGAACTAAAATAAGGTCTAGATGCTTTAAATATGCTCCTATCGTATGTCTTTATGTGATTACCTTTAAGATTCAAAGTGACCTAATTGGTTTTAAAAAGGCTGTCATCAATAAAGCAACAACTGCTTACTCTCGATTTGGCAACATTCCATTAACAAACATAACAGAATGACTTAATGACACTGCTTATGCACAATGATTTGACACACGTTATTTTGAAATATGTTTCCATATCATCCGGGATGCCACTGACACAGGAGAACTCCAGTTGACGTTTCTGATCACGTGATTTAGATTATACAAAATGACGTTTTCGATCTGCGAAATCGGGAATGAATTTTCCATTTTTGTTCTGTATGTGTTGATTAAATGAACATCTGCAAAGCTTGCTTTACCTACAATCAAGAGGCATGTTTTCTAAATACATCAAAAAATGTCTTCTCACTACCACCTCTGAAATATGACACACAATTGCATCTACTATAGATAAAAAGTAACTGAATACATTTCAAAACACTGTCAATTCCCTGTTAAAATGAATCGTTCAGAATATTACACTTTACAAGTTTGTTCATAGAAAGAAATGAATTGTTGTAAGGTGAGACTCTCAACTTGTACAGTTTTATTTAAATTAGGTACAAGTGGTTAACCTTTAAAAACATCAGTATCGGGGCTGTAGATTATGACTTGATCTTCTGCTGTAACTACTGCATGTAACCATACTCTGGTATTAGCCTCTTCATGATTACCATTATGGGACTTCAAGCAGTGACCATTTTATGTAAATTTTGCTTTTCTCTTAAGAAAGTGTAAGATTGAGAAACAGGACAGGCAGACATCCCTGAGTAACAATACCTGTCCATCAATTAATGTTAGTTAGATTGGAGATGATGAAAATCTTACCCATGAGCATCTGCAATATTCAAGCCCCTTTCTTTCATATGTGTTTATTTCTTACACAAGAAGCTTGAAAACAGCAAGCTGAAATACATGTATAAAGAAAGAAGAAGAGATTGTAAAAAATTAAAGTACCTGATAGTTCTTTGTAGAGATCAAGAGCCTCTTTCTGTCTTGTCATCCAGGATCCAGAAGATTCAGGTTGGGATTCAATTGCTGAAATACGACATATACTATTAGTTCTCATTTCAGACAAAAAACACATGTAACTGACTGACCAACAGTCCCACAAATAAAACCTTTAATTCATATGAAAAAATAGAAAGTGAAGAACGACAGATGACTGGTTTATAGGCTCTTTAGAGATTATGTTACATGTATTTATTATGCATCGACAATAATCAAAAAACTTTACTATTTATATTTTAAAAACCATCATATGATAATTTTATTGCATTCATGATGCAACACAGAATTTATCAAATGCTGCATATAATTGTATTCAGTTTTAGACTACTTCTCTGCATTATTATTTACAGACTTTTATTAATAGAATGTATAATTATGGTGCTATTTCCCACATTTCACAAGCATGTCACAATTCAAAGAGAATCAAAGTGATCACTATCTTGTATATAATACTAACTATCAGTGTCTACACCCTCTGGCAAACCAGTCAGCTGCGTACGGTTATCTTCCAGCATATGACTGATGAGGAGTTCCTCTGTCTGGGTGGTTTTGGCAGCAGGACCTCCTCCTGTTTTTGGTCTCTTTTGCAGGTCATATTTTTCTTTACCTACAAAACATAAATTTCTCAAATAAGGACAAAAAAATATTACATCTTTGAAAAAAATAGAGAAGGTAGGTAAGATTTTTTATTTTCCCTTTTTTTTTTTTACATTGAGTCTATATGAGGGACAATCTGACTTTAACAGTGCTTATTGAAAAACAACAACAAAAAACTTTGGGGTAGGCTATTTTTTAGCTTAAAAAATAGGGTGGGTACCGTAATAGGAAACACACATCTTTTTTATTTGGCCTAACAAGATTATTAGTTACACAGTGTGCAATTGTCCTCATATGAGAATTTATCAGGTCAATAAAATTCATATCGGATGAGGCCAAGCCAAACCCGATATGAATTTTATAGCCCCGTTAAATTCTGTATTAGGACAATTGTACACTGTGTAAGGAATTTATCCTGATTTTGTTATATTACATTATAATGTCATATTATGATATTCAAATTCAATTTTTGGGACAATATCAACCAAATATATCTAGATTTTTAATATAAAACTGTGAAAAATAAAAAATATTAGGACTTTAAAGCAACTCAAAATTATTATTTTCTTTATTAGGTCAATGGTATAAGGGATTAAAGGGGATACAAATTGTACTGAAATTTATTAGGACAATATCAGCCAATCAAATTGTGATAAATTACTCTAAATCAGGATAATACTAAATATACAATTATAAAAATGTTCCAAGGATTTCACATCACAAGGAAAAAATATTGACCTTTGCAGTTCTGATGTACATTTTGAATATAGCATGTAATGTTCATGATTTGCTTAATTTACTTTCGTTTTCTAGTACCCATTAATTGAAGCAACAAAGTGTTCAATTTTTATGTTGCCTTGTAATAAATCCGATATATTGCCAAACCATATTATAATGTCCATTAAAGAAATAGTGGCATCTATAACAAGTATAAACACAACATGAATATATTGAAACTCATTTTACATTAAACTTACTTCTTTGTTTTAAGTTGTAGTACTTCTTCTTTACCTCGTCAGATGTTCTTTTACAAACTGTAAATCTTCTGCATAAGAAATAAAAAGCAAAATGTTAATGAATAATAGGAAAATGAACTCTGATACTTAAAGTTTATTTCTTTATAATTTAATTTTGGATGTACATGTAACACTGTATTTATGTTGTCTGAAAGTCTTTTGTGTATTACATGTAGCTCATAGACATAATTTTGTCATGTTTTTGTGACATCATTAACCGTTTAATTCATGATTTACTCATTTAATATACTCCAGATTTCAACTATAAAGAATGACTAATATTCTTTCGGTCTGTTTAAAAAAACTCAAAAATTTGGTGTACACTATTAATTAATTCGCTATGCATGTAATTCAGTGTGATCCACGTTTTTAATGTTATTTCTTCCTGGACAGAAAAGATAGTACAGGTAAAACTTTGGTGGATATATTAAATGATTTTTTTTCATCATTACGATCCTAGACAGCCTCTGTTTATTCAAAGCAGTAGCTAATCTAAGTACATATCTGTAGCAATGGAGCTTTGTTGAGGTAATTACATGTAGTTTTCCAAGAAACTACACGTATATTTTTTTTTATATAATAAGGGAGCAACCAATTAACTTCAAAGGGGGTATGTATTTTTTTGTTTGAATCAGAATGTTTTTTTGAATAGTGTGAGCAGTTTTTCAAAAGGTTTTAGATCTTGTTATCAATCAAATAATGTTTTTCAAGATTTCACACTTGACAACATTTTTTTCCATCAAAGTGGGGATCAGAATAATATTTAATGAAAAAAACATAAGCCACTCCCTTTTTATAAGTTAAATTATCGTTCCCTAAGGTGATAAGTAAGTAAGTTATAGTTATGGGATTATACTGGCAAAACATTTATGATTATGTGAATACTTGGACACCCCCATGAGGGGCCTCATCAATAACATTCGCATTTACTGTTCAAAATATATAATGACGAAGAATCAGATACAACCGACATTTTCATTCTGAAAACGTTTGAGAAATTGGGAAAATATGGAGAACCTACGCATTTAATATGTCACATTTCTCTTTCCATGCATTTTGTCTAATAGTGGCGATTTTCACATCGCCACAACCTTTCGTCTTCCCAAAAAGGGAATCCTCCCTCAGATTTGCCTGATCTATCAGAGCTAGCTCTTCATCAGTGGTCCAATTTGCTCCTCTCTTATTTTTTTCTGCCATAATGGCTGCACTGACAACAGAACATACCTTGACAGACGACTTTCTCATCAAATCTTACCTGCATTTTTAGCACTCTTTTCTGGTTTTCAAACACGAAAGAGTTCCGTTTACCGCTTACATCGTCGAGAAAAAAATTCTCAAAAATTCTCACCTGAGAATATTCTCAACGTTGAGAATATTTTTTTATGGCTGATAAAAAAGTTCACATTCTTAGTTGAGTAAAATAATTCATTCTGAGAATATTTTTTTACTCAGAAAATAAAAGTTTTATGGCGCCGGGGCCAGATGCCAATACATAATCTTCAACTTGACCATTTAATATGGAAAAAAGTAAAATAACAAAATTACCGAACTCCAAGGAAGATTCAAAACGATAAGTCTTTTATCAAATGGCAAAATCAAAACCTCAAACACATGAAACGAATGGAAAACAACCGTCATATTCCTTTTCAGAAACTGCTCTGTCTTTTTTGTCATCATCAAATCATCCAGCTGTAACAAAACAACACTGGTTAGAAAGAGAAAATATTCGATGATAGTGAAAAAAAACAGGTATTAAGACAGAAAATTAACCAAAATTCGCTTTTGATGGCGAACTACAATAAAATTTCGCGAGTTTGATATCAATGGTGTGTCAGAGGAAATACATGTACGTACAACTGGTTCCTGTATGACTGTATTCCTCCTGGTTTTTTCAATGTCTTTTGGGCTAACACCATTCCTATATTGATCATCAAATAGTTAATGAAACTCATTTGCTCTATACTGATTCTAATTATTAACAATCCATCTATTAAAAAGAAAATCACCATAATCACCAAAGGTCTTATGTGAGGGAAGTGGACTGGTATTGATGATAAACATACCATCAATAACGACAGTAGTTCTTCTTGTAAGTGAAGCCTTAGGTACATGTGATAAAAAAACATGGAAGTAAATATTTTCTAAATATTAGCTGCAGAAGCTTTTTTACCTTTCTCTGTAATCCTTTCTGCCTCACTCGAAGCACGTGGCACCTGTAAAAACTGGTCCAAATCCTTGACTTCGTTACCACTATGCTTAGAAAATGCAATCTTTTCCTCAAACAAGAAATCACTGTAGTTTGATCTTTAATTTCTGTGTTTTTTTTTTCTTGTGAAGAGTTAATTCAATAGGGTCAAAAGTTTTTCTTTTTTTTTCTTTTTCTGGGGGGAGGTTTTCATGCTGTTTCACAACTTTCTAATAAAAACTATTTTACATAATTTGCTAAGTCTTCCTCGCCATTCTGTCTGTAATTTGTCAAACTGTCTGTCTGTTCGTTGTCAGTTTCAGTTCTATAGATATAAGAAGATGTGGTATGAGTGCCAATGAGACAACTCTAGTAAAGATATGATGTAGTTTTTCATTATAGTTTATGACAAACAGAGATGATGTTTGTAAATTGGATATATATTCACAAACTGTTTTTTTCTGCATTTTAAACATAAGACATTTTTCCTTTTATCTGATGTAAACCTTCTTCCCTTTTAAGCTATAATTCTGATTAAAGGGTTATGTTATGTCTTTGTTCTGTAAGGTAATTGAAAGGTTAGATTTCCTAAAGAAGACTGGCTGAATGAATTAAGAGGATATTTGTTTTACGTTAAATTAATTTCCATTTCGTGTGCTTCCTCCAGTTCTACAGAATACAAATGTTTACTTGAAATTGAAACTGAAAAGTAGCCAGTTGCAAAATATTTAATAATAGGTTCTGGAAAGGTGTGGAGATCAGCAAGATGGTAGGTGAAGAGTCACTTATAGTTTTTCCCATCAAAAGACAAGTAACTTTTTTCAAAGACACATTACGTAATAACCAGTTTCTACTACGTATACAAAAAAAACCAAGATAAGCCTTAAAATCTAAATGTATGACATTGTCCCAAAAAATAAAAGTTTGGTTGACTGAGGAGTTCTCATAACGCCAAGTTTTATACTCTTCCAATAACTCATTGTTTCTCACATATCTTCTAGACATCAAGTTTACAACCATCAACTTCTCCTTCATCAAATGACATATTTGAAATAATATCAAATATTAAATTTGAAATTTGGATGTCATAAGGTGCCTTACATGATTTATATTCAAAAAAAGATTTCACTTGATGTCTCATAACCACAGTCACTTGTCTCAGAAAAAAAGTTACACTAAGGTATATAGAAAATTATTTTTCTGAGACAAGTGCCTGTGCTCATAACTGCTCCCCAAGCTTGTATAAAAAAAACCATGAGTTATTGCAAACTTGCTACACTCAGTTAAACTTTTAATGTTGCTCCATGGGGATGTTTAGTAGGAAGCTGCTTCAATCCGGCATCAAAATAAATATCGACAAATATAGGAAAAGCATTTTTAGTATATATATATATATAAATGCAATACTCCTATCGGTAACATGATAGACCAAAAGGGTAACAGGATAGAACGTAATATGGTGTTATATCGTTAACGTACGTTCCTGTAACAAAAACAAAAAAAAAGAAGACAAAAGTAAACTAACATGCGAGGGGATTACTTGATGTTGACTGTATTTATTAGAAAGAGAAAACAATGCAGAACATTATGCATTACTATCTTAGACGTGCATTACTGGTGGTTATTTTTATAACCTTTGAAAACAGATTTTTAGATGTATAATTTCCAGTACAACATGGAAAATTGACAAATAATCTATCATTAAACAGAATGAAAATATATAGAATGTTTTACTCTCAAAAACCATTTTATTGGCTATGAAAAACAACCTTAAAATTTTATCGAAACCTTTTCTAAATAACCCGAAATTTCTTTTGAACATGGTAACAGAAGAGACAAAATATTGCACCACCTATCAAAAAATGTTTTAATATATTCTTGTATGACATTATCAAGCTTGTATCTTTTTATAAGTTGTTCCATAAGTACTGTTTGTTTTGATTTGGTTGTTAAGAGGGTTGGTTTAATTAGTAACTTTAATTCAATTTTGCATTTCAAAATTCGACATTTATAAAAATGTCCCATATGCCAATCCCCAGGATAGGCAAGTACCCAGTCCATGTTTTTCTCATATTCCGATTTAGGTTTGATCAAATGATCGTAGCTTTTCCCTTCACCCACACCAACAACAACATATATTGTAATGAGTCACCTGACCAACTTGAAATTTATCATTTAAAATATTCAAAACCTTTAATGATGTTTCTTTGTTGTCTGCTGTTTCATCCAAAATGGCCACTAATCAGTGATTTCAACTGGAATAGAGAAAAAAGTCTTAATACCTTGTAAAACATTATTTTGTTTTAAATTTTTTTTTGGAAAAATACATACTTTGTTACATTTGTATAAAATTCATCCCATTCTGAAATTTCTGCAGATGTTTCATTTAAATCTGAGGGTGACAGGTTAGAAAATTTATTTTGTTTTTTTATTGGTGGGACGTCAAAATTTGATCTTTGCATTTAAAATTGTCAATGTCGGGAAGTTTGTACATCTTGATTTTATCTGAGACATACATTTTAACATAACTTTTTAAGATTTTTACAGCGTCTTCTAGACTTTGCTCTAGTTTGGTTTTTTTTCTACTTTCTGCTGATACAGTAGATGCTATTTTTTCTGCTTCAATTATGTTCTCTTTTTTCAATCATTTGTTTTCATCAATATATTTCTGATATTCTACAACAACTAAGCGCAAACAACCAAAAATATCTGTACCATTCCTGTAAATCATTCTCCCTAAAAAAGTTCTTTGGGACAAAATATGATAGCGCTCTGCCCAGACAGATTTCCATTCCATTAACAAACATAACAGAATGACTTAATGACACAGCTTATGCACAATGATTTAACACACGTTATTTTGAAATATGTTTCCATATCATCCGGGATGCCACTGACACAAGAGGTTTTTTTTTCTACTTTCTGCTGATACAGTAGATGCTATTTTTTCTGCTTGAATTATGTTTTCTTTTTTCAATCATTTGTTTTCATCAATATATTTCTGATATTCTACAACAACTTAGCGCAAACAACCAAAAATATCTGTACCATTCCTGTAAATCATTCTCCCTAAAAAAGTTCTTTGGGACATAATATGATAGCGCTCTGCCCAGACAGATTTCCATTCCATTAACAAACATAACAGAATGACTTAATGACACAGCTTATGCACAATGATTTAACACATGTTATTTTGAAATATATTTCCATATCATCCGGGATGCCACCGACACAGGAGAACTCCACTTGACGTTTCTGATCACGTGATTTAGACTACACAAAATGACGTTTTAGATCTGCGAAATCGGGAATGAATTTTCAATTTTGGCTCTGTATGTGTTGATTTAATGAACATCTGCAAAGCTTCCGTTACCTACAATCAAGAGGCATGTTTTCTAAATACATCAAAAAAGGTCTTCTCACCACCACCTCTGAAATATGACACACAATCGCATCCACTATAGATAAAAAGTAACTGAGTACATGTCAAAACACTCGCAATTCCCTGTTAAAGTGAATCGTTCAGAATAATACACTTTACAAGTTTGTTCATAGAAAGAAATGAATTGTTGTAAGGTGAGTCTCTCAACTTATACAGTTTTATTTAAATTAGGTACAAGTGGAAACCCTTTAAAAAACATCAGTATCGGGGGTGTAGATTATGACTTGATCTGCTGTTGTAACTACTGCATGTAACCATACTCTTGTCTTAGCCTCTCCATGATTACCAGATGCCAATACATAATCTTCAACTTGACCATTTAATATGGAAAAAAGTAAAATAACAAAATTACCGAACTCCAAGGAAGATTCAAAACGATAAGTCTGTTATCAAATGGCAAAATCAAAAGCTCAAACACATCAAACGAATGAAAAACAACCGTCATATTCCTTCTCAGAAACTGCTCTGTCTTTTTTGTCATCATCAAATCCTCCAGCTGTAACAAAAGAACACTGGTTAGAAGAGAAAATTTTCGATGATAAAGAAAAAAAGTATTAAGACAGAAAATTA